CGTGGCTGCGGGCCCCGCCCCGCCCGCGACCACCGCCTCTCCCCTCCGCCTGCACTTGCACGGCCTGCCATGGGAGCGCTAGGACGGAGCTACCCTCTGTCGTCCCATTTTGCAGATGAGGCGAACTGAGGCCTGCCCAGAGTCACAGGTCGCAGGCCGGCGTCAAAGCAGTTAGCACCGTGCGGGCCTGAGGTCGGGGTCCGAAAGCGTTGGGCTCCTTTCCTTTAGATCACATTGACATGGAAGCTCTATGATGACAGGAACTGTGACGTCCTCTCTGCCCCCTCCCCGAAAGGTCTTGTAAAATAATTGGGGGAAGGCCAGGCAGAAGTGGGTGATTTGGTATGGAAAAGAGCACCCAGCCTGCATATCGGTGCTGCAGGGGAGTTAATCCATCTAATTTATGGGCTAGGGTAAGAGAGGAGAACAGCTAGGAGGCTGCAGTGGAATCCAGGGGAGGGATGATGGATTTAAGTGGTGGCAGTAGGGCTAGAACGAAGGGGAAATATTTGAGGTAGGTTTTGGAGAATTAATGGGATTTGCAGATGGATTGAAAGGACGGATGGAGAAGGAGGAATCCAGAAGTTCCTTGAGTGGTTTAGTAGTGCTGTGTACTGAAATGGGGGAAACTAGAAGCGAAATAGGTATGGGGTAAGGGAATAAAGTGTTCTGTTGTGTGGTTTATGATGCAATGTCCAGTTTTCCTCTATAAGGATGGGTATAGGAGTCTGGAGCTCAGATGACAAACACATGGCCTGGAGATGTGATTTGGGGCATATAAATGGTATTTACCATACTAAAAATAAAAGACCTCACTTATGGTGAGAAGTAAAGCAAAACAAACAGGCCCAGGGCAGAATCCTGGAGAACACCAATACTCAGGGTTCAGGCCCTGCAATGGGGAGAGAACTGGCCAGAGAAGCAGGAGGAAGACCAAAGGGATCCCAAGAAAGGACAGCGTTTCAGGAAGGGTGGAATGATCAGTTATGTCAGATGCTGCTGAGAGAAGAGAGGTGTGTCTGCACATCTGAGAAGTTGTATGTGAACTTGACAGAGCAGTTTTGGTGGACTATGGGGACAGATGGAGAAGCGAGGAGCAGCAGAAGTGGAGGTAGTATGGGCAGACAAGTCTTGAAAAAAATGGGGGTGGAATGCAGGGGACAGAGGAGGTGGATTCAAGGGATTTATTTGTACAGTTGGGGTGACACAAGAGCACATTTGTGTTGCTATTGGGAATGATCCAATAGAGTAGGAGAGATCAATGACCCCAGAGAGAGAGAGAGACACATGGTGATTCATGGAAGGGAGGCCCTGAAAAGAGAGGGGTATATGAAGTCCGTGTATAAAGGCATGACTCTGACCAGCCAAAAAGGGTACGTGTGCTACAGTATGAGACCCAGGCCCAGGAGCTCTCTGGCAGAAGGAATGACCACATGGTTCCAGTGGCCCCTGTTGCTTAGCAACCTGTGTTTAGTAAGACGTTTCAACTGAATTCCTAATTAACGGTCATTTCAACTTATGCTAATGTTTCCTGTCACTGGGGTGCGCACTCTGCTTCTTTCCCTCTCCCAAAGTCTGGTACTTCAGACTCTTGTTGAAATGCTCTGAAACTGATGGAAAGCTCAAATTTCTACTTTCTTGTACTGTTGATAAATGTATGCATCAAGATGTGAAAATTAGGGACTCTCACTCAGTCTTAAAGGGAGGGTGCCAAAGAATGCAGGATATAGATCTCCAGTTCAGAGCCCTCCAGTGAACTCCACCCGCCTTCTTGCCTTCTTCCCCACAGGCATCTCAGACTAAATAGAGTCCTTAATACCTTATATTCAACCACCCAACCTCATTCATTCATCCTACAGTTTTTAACTATTAGAGAACATGCTCCCAGCATCTACCCATTTGACATGTCTTCCCAAAGTCATTCTGGATTCCTCACTCTACCCACTCTATACAATTAATTACTGCCTCCAACACATTTCTCAAAAATTCTACTTTTCTGGGTGCCCTCTGAGTCTGCCCTGGTCTAAGCCACCATCATCCTTCATTGGGATCATTACAAGAGCCTTCTAACTGCTGTTTCTCTCAACCCATCTCCAATCCATTCTCCACACTGCAACCAGAGAGTGGTCTTTTAAAGCATAATCAAATCAATTTACTACCCCGCTTAAACCCTTCAAAGGTTTCCCATCACATTCTCCTGCCAACGAGTTGTTTGTCACCCTCCCTAACTTCTGTGTCTCTGGAATGCACTTTCCCCAACAACCTTCCTACCCTAACTGGCTACTTCTCATCAGGCAAGTCATATCCCCTTCTAGGTGCTCCCTTCCCTAGTGTCCATCACTGCACCCTGCCAAGTACCTTCTCAGCTCAACTAGATGTTAAGTTTTCACTGTCCTCCTGCAGGAGGCAGTGAAATCCATGTGGATGGACAGAGATGTTCACCTGTGTCTCCCCAGAGTCCAGCACTGTGCCTGGCATGCAGTAAATAAATATTTGATGAACAGCATGATTTGCTATGAGAAGATTCCCTGCCTGTGAAGTTTATGGTTGTACTTTTTTTTTTTTTTTAAGTAAGCTCTATGCTCAACATGAGGCTTGAACTCATGACCCCAAGATGGAGTTGCATGCTCTACCAACTGAACCAGCCAGGTGCCCCTGTGGTTGTACTTTGAAAATTAATAAAAGACTAAGCAACATATGAAGGGGATTCTTCTTGGCTATTTTATTCTTCTAGTTGCTGCCCTTCTGGTGTCTAATAGGATGATGATAACCACCATTGATTTTGCCTGGTCTACGGCAGGTACTGCACGTTTCTTATTTCTAGTTCTTACAACCCAATGAGGTGACCCTATCATTTCCACTGTACAAAGTAAAACCTAGACTCTCTCTGTTTAAGCTTGATGAATCTTGTTGATTCCATATTCCATTTGAAATCATGGAATTTTTCAAGTTGAATGAGAGTAACTTAATCCAGTAGGTGAGGCCCAAGAAGGAAGGCTGTAGTCTCCTCATGAGGGAACGGGGCCTAGAACCCTGTTAATGGTAAAACAAAACCGTTCGCCAGAGTCAGAACAACAAGCTGCCTAATCCAGTGTTCTGCCTTTAAGAAGTAGCCTGTTTAATCCTTAAAGTCTTATTATCTATCTCTTTAGTCCCTGAGCACCTAGGATATGCTAGGCTCTGTTCTTGGCTCTGGAAATACAGTAGAGAACAAGACAGTCTAAGTCACCGCCCTTAGGGCACTTACACTCCAGTGGTGGGAGATAGACAATAAAGAAATAAACAAGTGAACAAGATAATTTCAGACAGAAACAGGTACTATAAAGAACTATAAAATGGGTGAAGGGATACAGAGTGAGGGGAGGGAAAAGTTACTTTAAATAAGGTCCCTGAGGAGGTGACTTTGAGCTGAAATTTGAAAAATGAAGAGCCATCCAGGAGAAGAGCCACAGAAAGAACATCAAGTGCAAAGGCCCTAACGCAAAGTCAAGCTTGGCAGTCAAGAACAAGAAGTGAGTTGGGGTACCTGGGTGGCTCAGTTGGTTAAGTGTCTGCCTTCGGCTCAGGTCATGATCCCAGAGTCCTGGGATCGAGCCCTGCATCCGGCTCCCTGCTCAGTGGTGAGTCTGCTTCTCCCTCTCCCACTCCCCCTGCTTGTGTTCCCTCTCTCTCTCTGTCTCCCTCTGTCAAATAAATAAATAAAATCTAAAAAGAAAAAGAAAAAGAAGTGAGTGGGGAAAGCCGGAGAGGGTAGTACAGGAGCAGACTGAAGAGAAAGCAGAGTGTCATTCAGGGTCTTGTGGAATGTTTGAATTTTATTCAAGGTGCAAGAGGGAGCTAGTAGAGGTTTCAAGCAAGAGGATGAACATGATCTGGCTTATGATTTAAAAGATCACCTATGGATTAAAGAAGGGGAAAACTCAAACAAGGACCGTTGGAGGGCTGTTGCAGTGGGCTGGTGACATCTGTTCGGATGGTAGTGGTGGAGGAATAGAGGCTCTATTTTGGATGTAGAACCAACAATACTGGTTGATAGCATGAATATGGGGTTGGTGGTAGAAGGGGTTGAAGAAGGGAAAAATCAAAGACTTCCACATCTATGTGGTGGACCTCAAATTTAGAAATATTTTAACATATATTCAGCCTCCACTTACTACATTTAGATTCTTTTTTTTCTTTTGTCTGTTTTTTTAAGTTTATTTTATTTTAGTAATCTCTACACCCAATGAGGCTGGAAGCCACCACCCTGAGATCAAGAGTCCCACGCTCCTCTGCCTGAGCCAGCCAGGCACCCCTACATTTAGATCCTTAATTAGAGCACAGCATAGCACGGGGAAAGAATATGGACTTAAATTCCAATCCTGTATGATCTCGGAAAGAGCCACCGCTTCATCTTTGATAGGGTGATTGGCTGTCTCCAGATTTGAGCTGTTTGTAAAGCTCCGCCAGAGCACCTAGAACTGAGGTTTACGGAGGTTGTGGGACATCCAAAATGAGTGAGGCAGAGTGCCTCATATTCTAGATTTTATTCAGGAGATGGTGATAGAGGGGCAGTGTTGCGGGATTTTGAGCATGCGAGACATTTATACCACTGGGCAGAAATTCCAGTTTCTGCCTGAATTGGAAATGAGTCTCTCTGCTAGTCATCCTGGCCCAAGGGCACCTTAAAATTCTTCGAATCAGGGAGAATGCGATGTCATTCCTGGTGCCTGGAACAGTACCTACCGTATGTGCTCAATAATTATTTGATAAAGAATGGGGTAGGAGTGAGAGGAGGTTAGCGTGCAGAAATGAGATATGCCCCGGCGGCGGCAGGGCCGGCGCGCAGGGATTTTCACATCTCTATAGCAACGCCCGCTTCCACGAGCACCCGCAGGGGAACTACAAGTCCCACAAGGACCCGCGGCTTCCCCGCCCCCTAGGGGCAGGGGCGCGGGCGAGCGCGGAACCGGCTTTTCCTCCTTCCTGCAGCGTGATTGGCCCGCAGCTCTGGGAAGCGGCCAATGACTGCGCTCAGGAAGAGCCGCGAGGCCAATATGGCTTCCTGCACCTGGTGACGGTTGAAGAAACGGTGTTAGGTCTCATGGAGAAGACTCGGGGCGTCGAGGTGAGAGGGAGAGAATTTATCGTGAATGGGGAAGGGAACCCCGAGAACGTCGCACGCGGGACCGTTCTTTAGGCCTTTTAGCGACGCCTGGAGGGTGGAGAGTGGAAGGATGGATAAACTGAGGTAGTTAGGCTGAGCAGGGCCAGAGGCGATTGGCGTTGCCTTTTGCCCTATCCTGCTGGGGCCGACGTCCGGCGAGTAGTTCAGGGCGGAACAGCCTCCCTGGGCTCCCTGGAAAGGGACCTGGGTTCAGGATCTGAGAGCTCTTGCATCTTCTTTGTCCTCCCTCTCTCGTGGTCGTTTCTTTGGGGATTAAGAGGCCAGTGACATCCTGGTGGGACGTGAGGGAGATTAAAGTTTCATAAAACTACGTGTCTGGAGCGTTCACGTGCATTGTCGCCCAGTTTACTCACAACAATCCTGCGTCACTGTTTCGTTGTTATGGTTAAAGTAGCTGAGGCTTTCAGACAGGTGGTGACTCGCCAGGAAGGCCACACAGCTGTAAAGTGAAGGAGATGGGCACTTAGTCTTGCAGGCTCCAGAACTTTCCCCACTCTCCTACAGCCTGTCACCCACTCATCCTTGAGTCATTTGGCTTCTGGTCACCTTGTATTTAAATTCGGTCTCTTTTCTACTACATTTGCTTGTGTAGTTGTAAACATAAAATGGAGTAGCTCAAAAATATAAGGGAAATGGAGAATAATAGCCCGCGCTTTTAGAGCTGTCACTAACTGCTGGAAACAGAGCTAGGCTTTACATATGTCAGTCTTCATTCTAGTCATCTAAAGAAGGCTTGCTATTATCTCCATTGTACTGATGAAGAAACAGAGCAGCAAGGTTCAGTATCTTGCACAAAATCGCAGTTAAGTGGTAGAGCGAGGATTCAAACCCAGGCAAATCTGGTTTGAAAGCCCATGCTTTTAACCAATAGTAATTGCCAACATGTATCAAACACTTGCTACGTATGTTACTGTTTTGAGTGCTATATCTGTATTAATCCTTTCTTCTCCCTCAAAGCTTCTGAAAGAGGTGGTATCCCAAAGATGTGGGAACTGATGCACGGAGAGATTGACTTGCTGCAGATCATACAGCTAGCTAGTCAGCAGTAGAGATGGTATTTGAGCCCTGGTCTAGGACCTTTTCTACTAAGTGCAGGGATTGATACACAGTATCTCATTTACATTTCACATCCTGTGAGCTAACTACTTTTCTTATTTCATAGGTGAGAAAGTTGAGGCCCAGAGGGGTTAAATGACTTGCCCAAAGACCCACAGCTAGTTAGGACTGAAGCTGAGTCAGAGCTATGGTACATACCACTATGCTCTAACTAGTGTGTCATCTGTTTCCCAAACACTCCTCAGGGCAGTCTGTGTCCCAAATTAACTTTTCTGTGGCTGAAATTGTTTCTGAATTGAGATTGTTTTGGTGTACATATGCTGAAGGGAGAAGAATGATTTTCTAATTTACATCTTCCCCAGAAAGTCTTCATGAGATAACTTAAGAGTATTTTCACATCATTGTATTCTATGTGAATCATGTTGAAATGTCATCATTTACAAATCCACAGGAGGAGCTTGGTGAATTCCTAATACATATTTTCTGTCTTGTTAAGCTGTTCTGATGAGTTGCAGTTAAGAATTGTATAAACAAGAGTAATGATCCTGGTGTTTGCAAAAGGGGTATTTGATTCTGCCTGCCACTTGGCCCAAAGGTGTTGACCAAGAACTGGAAAGGAAGCTGATAGCAGACCTGCATCCTTCTTCCCCATACACTAAGGCAGACCTGATTCCTCCTGCCTGGTACGTGTCATCCTTCCACTAGGAGACTCCATCTTCAGAACCTATGGAAGAGGAAGAGGAGGAGGAGGACGACTTGGAGCTCTTCGGTGGCTATGACAGTTTCCGGAGCTATAACAGCAGTGCGGGCAGCGAGAGCAGCTCCTATCTGGAGGAGTCAAGTGAAGCAGAAAATGAGGATCGGGAAGCAGGGGAGCTGCCCACCTCCCCACTGCATTTGCTCAGCCCTGGGACTCCCCGCTCCTTGGATGGCAGTGGTTCTGAGCCAGGTGCTTTCAGAGTGTCCCCTGAAGACGGGGAGGTTTCAGGAGATTATGAAGGAAGAGGGGGATATAGGCCATGTGGGCGGAGCTGTCCAGGTGTAAAAGCTGTTTGATCTAATGTCTAAGGGCCTGTGAAAGAGACAGAAGTACCCCAAGTAGCCCCAAGGGGCATTGCCTCTGCTGCAGTCTGATTTCAAACTGCAATTTCCTTTGGTCTTTCATACGACTAATACTTATTTGGCACACATTAGATGCCAGTCATTAATATGGTGCTGCTTTTACATTTGTGTGAATAGCCGGTTGATTTTTAAGCCTGGATGTTGAGAAGGACACCTAAAATGTTCTGATCTACTATCCGGGAAAGGACAAGAAATAGCTTGTGGGTTGGATGTGAGGCTGGGGTGGAAAATACAGAATAAAGGGACTTCCTGGGGAGAGGGTTACTGATGAGAGTCCCCGTAGAGCATCTGGAAGCCAGTTAATTTCCGAGCTGTGCTGCTTGGACAGCTGCTGGATCCCTGTGTCAGGGCCCCCAGTGTGTGGACTGCCTTTGAAGAGAGACGGGCTAGATTTATATGAGGACACTCCTATTCCTTAGTGCCTGCAAATACTCTGCCACTCGACTCTTCCTTTCCATCTACCTGTCTTCTCTTCCTCCCTCCCCTCCCTTTTCTTAATCTTTCTCCCCTCTGTCTTCTTCCATCCATTCTCTTAGAATCTTAGAACATTGGAACTAGAACCATCGGAGACCGTTGAGTCCAGGGGTCCTCTGTCGTGGCTGTGCATTAGGATCACCTGGGAGCTTTTAACAGACTACAGATGCCTATGTCCCACCACAGACCAGTTAATTAGAAGCTCAGGCTTGGCTATTTTTTAAGCTCCACGGGTGATTCTAATATGATGTCAGGATGGAAACACTGATCTAGTTCAGTCTCTTTATAGATGAGGAGAAAATCTGCAGAAGTTAGGTTGGTATAGACACTTTTTTTCTTCTCGTTTTCCTCTTTACAGACTTTCCAACACTTAGCTGTTGCCCTGTGGATTTTCTTTAGCTCCACTGTTGACATATAGCCAGGGGATGCCAGGCAGCTTATCTTGGACAAAACGGATTCAGTTGTACACAAACCTGCTCCTGTTCCAGTCCCGTCAGTCTTACAGGGGGCTGGGACTCACCTAGTTAATGCACCGTTCCAGATTTTGAAGGGCCCATCATTTTGTTTGATTTGGGGTGATCGTATTAGGTGGGTCACGTGCTAAGTTCTCTTCCCAGCTGTCTGTGAGATGTGTGGTATCGTGGGTACAAGGGAAGCCTTCTTCTCCAAGACTAAGAGATTCTGCAGCGTTTCCTGTTCCAGGAGCTACTCCTCCAACTCCAAGAAAGCCAGTATCTTGGCCAGATTACAGGTGAGAGGCAGTCACTTGGAAGACCCTTCCTGGGGTCCTGGGAGTCGAGACAGGAGCAACCAATTGGCTGATGGCAAGGGGCCAAGAGGGCTTGGGAGGAGCTTGCTTGTGGCGTTCTGAGATTTTAAGTTTCTTGCTATTCTCTAAAATTTAGAGGGGAGAGGAATCCATTTATGGAGCTTGATAAATGACAGATTTCTAGAGCTGCCCTCATTCCCCACCTTCACCCCCTGCATAGTCTGACGTGTTTAGTATGTTTTAAACGAGAGCCTTTGGGGAGTCTGATGCCCTTGGTCTTTGCCCCCCAGTACTTTTATAAATGTTCTGAAAGGAAGCTAGGAGATAGGCATATGTTTCACCAACCACAATGGGTTTAGGAAGTTGATGCCTTGTCTCTGACTCCATGTCATAGACAGCCACCTAGAAAGTCTTACTACTTTTTTTTTTTTTTGAGAGAGAGCAGTCGGGGGTAGGGGGGCAGAGGTGGAGAGGGAGAGAGAGAATCTTAAGCAGGCTCCACACCCAGCCCAGAGCCCGACTCAGGGCTCAGTCTCAGAACCCTGAGATCATGACCTGAGCCAATATCAAGAGTAGGACACTCAATGGACTGAGCCACCCAGGCACCCCTGTAAATGGAAGGATTCTTAAAGAGATGTGTTGTCTAACCCACACATTAGTTGAGAAGTGTGCTGAGGTCCAGAGGAAGAATGACTTACCTTAGGTAGTTCTGTTCGAAGAGCAGCAGAACTGGGACTGGACTGTAATCTCAGGTGCCTGGCTTTGTGGTTTCCTGGTAACTATGGCCACCATCCACAACACTGGTTCTCAAACTCGCCTGCACGTTGGGATCACCTGGAGAGTTTGAAATAGTGACTCTTGGTGAGACTTGATCTTACTTAGGCTATGAGTTCGAGCCCCACGTTGGGTGTAGAGATTACCCAAAAACCAAACCAAACAAAACCAAAAATATGAACTTTTAAAAAATAATAAAATAAAACATCAGTGCTTGGTCTTACTCCCTAGGTTCTGATTTAACTGGGATGGAGTGTGGCCTGGACACAGGGCCTTTATTTATTATTATCTATTTATTTTTAAGTAATCTCTACACCCAACGTGGGGCTCGAATTGATAACTCTGAGATCAAGAGTCACCCACTCAGGGCGCCTGGGTGGCTCAGCTGGTTAAGTATCTGCCTTCAGCTCAGGTCATGATCCCAGGGTCCTGGGGATCTAGCCCCGAGTCACATTCCCTGCTCAGTGGGAGCCCCTCATGCTCGCTCTCTCTCAAGTAAATAGTCTTAAAAAAAAAGGCACATATACTCCACCGACTGAGCCAGCCAGGTACCCCCTGGACATAGGGACTTTAAAAAAGACACGTCGGGGCGCCTGGGTGGCTCAGTCGCTAAGCCTCTGCCTTCAGCCCAGGTCATGATCCCAGGGTCCTGGAATCGAGCCCCGCATCGGGCTCCCTGCTCCGCGGGAAGCCTGCTTCTCCCTCTCCCACTCCCCCTGCTTGT